GATCCCAGCGGGGCCGCACCTGGGGTGGGGCGGGGGGCTGGCGCGAGCTCGCTCGCAGAGCCGGTGGGAGGGTGCAGAGAACCAAGTCGCCCGGCGGGGGAGCGAGCGGGAGCTGTCGAGCCCGGCAGATGGAGAGGAGCGGCTGGGGGGCCAGAGTGGAGCCGGCCGGGCCGGGCGGAGAGTGAGCAGCGGAAGGGAGGGAAGCGAGGGAAGGGAGGAGTGTGTCCGGCGCACGGCTTAGCTGGGAGGGGGGCCCCTGCCACTGGGGGGACGCAGGGTGTCAGGGGGTACAGGGTGTGTGGGAGGGAGTTAGATAGACAGGGTGTGCGGGGGTGCATAGGTAACCGGACAGAGGGGGATGGATGGGTAAATAGACAGAAGGTGTTTGGGGATGGATGGATGGATGATTGGGCAGATAGACGAGGGCACGGGGACAGACAAAGGAGGGGATGGGGATGGGCAGGCAGACAGAAAGAGGGGATATGGGGATTGATAGACGGGGGAGATATGGGGACTGACAGACACACGGGGATGGATAGACGGACATAGAGCGTATGGGGATAGATAGACAGGCATGGGGGAGATGGGGATGGATGGGTGGACAGATAGACGGGGGTATGAGGATGGACAGACAGGCGTAGGGGACATAGGGCTGGACAAAGGAGGGTTGGGGTGCACTGGTGGACAGAGTGTGAACGGGAAAAGGGAAAGCAAATGTCTGAGGGCGCTCCGGAGTTGTGGGAAACACACGAGAGTGGGGGGAAGCAGAGGAGGAGGCGCGCTGTGGAGGACCAGGGTGCGCAGTGTGTGGCGCAGGAGGTGCGCAGTACACGTACAGTGGACTGTAGGGGGGTGCTGTGCCAGTACAATGTAGATGAGTGTGCAGTGAGTGTACAGTACGAGCTGGGGACGTGTGGTGCAGTGTGTGTGTGCAGTGAGGTGCAGGGGATGTACCATGTTGGCTCTGGGGGTGTTTAAAGTGCCTCATCTTTCCAGAAGGGACTGTCCCATCCCTAGAAGGAGGAGGGCAGGGCTGTGGTCAGTCTGCCCCGTGCGCTGCCAGGGAGATGCCCACTAGCTCATCCGTGTGCCCGTCAACAGATCCCAGGGCTTGGCCAACTCCAGGAGTGGGACCCCCGCCCCAGGACAGCAAGTCCATCTCACTCCGTCTGGATCCCCCTCAGATCCAGCGTCAACCCCCCTTTCCAACCAGTGCCCTGTCAGCCACCTGCCCCTTTCACACTCCTCTTGGAGCGCTTGGCATCAAATATGTCACTGGAGCTGGGAGCCAGGACTCCTGGGTTCTCCCATCGGCACTGGGGGGAGGGGGGGCTGGGTGCCAGG